GTTAAGGGTTTAGGGTTAAGGGCTTTGGGTTTAGGGTTTAGGGTGTTGGGCGAGGTGTATAACTTTATGCCTACACCAGGGTTGTCCTCTTCAGAGGTCCTCTAAGGAAATAGAGAGCGCTCACGAAGCTCTTTGACAAGGACTAGGATATACGGCCGTGTCTGAGGTAGGGACCTGGCTCACAAAGTGTTCGAAGTGCTGTCCGCTCTGCATGAAGCTTGGATGCATACTTCAGGGTGTGAGGGTTCAAGGTTGGTTCAGAGGGGGGGGCTGAGGTTGCGGAGGTTTATGGCGGACTTCAGGGTTCAGGTTTTCTTCAGGTTTAAACCTGAAGCGTAGCGATTCGGCGTGGTCGGCGTGGAGGACTTCAGGGTGTGTAATAGACGGGTCGGGATAACTAGTAGCAACAGTTCCCGTATAGTCGCCGTATGAAAACAGCGCAGCATACCCTCCCTACTCTGATTATGGATGCGCTTATCCCCGAGTCATTTCCACACCCCCGCCTTCACGACTCATTCAAGCCACCATGACCATGTTTAGGGCCCTAAACCCTAAACCGGGTCGAACGAGCAAACCTACCAAGAAGTTGAGAAAGTTCTGAGGTGTCGGGTTGGGCTTCGGATATTTGGGGTTTGGAGTTTCAGCACTTGGGGTGTAGCAGTGTAGGGCAGAGAGCGAGGGCAGGGTGTCTTCATTCGGGTTTAGCTTCATGAAGGTTTTAAACGGTTTTGGGCCTTCAGGGTTTCAGTTTTTTTCTAAGGTGTGGGAGGTTAGGTTCCAGGCTTGCAGGGTTTCAGGGTTTTCGGGTGTTAAGTTTTGAGCTTCAGCGCCGTTGGTCCAAGTTTTTCGAGCGTTAAGTTCGAAGCTTCAGGCTTTCAGATGTTCGGGCTGTAGCTGCTTTAGTTGCTAGAGTCTTGGCTTCAGTATATACATCGGATCCTGAAAGGTATCGCTTAAAAAAGTTCGGGACACGTCCTGAATGCAGCTCCAGGTCGAACGCACCTGTCGTTTTCGATTGGTTGTGGGATGTTTGCGGGAAGATGGCATAGCGAGGTGTGGAGTTGCGAGATGGGACTTAGTAGCTAGGGCTCCTTAAACGGAACCCTATTGGGGGTTACTATAAGGGTTACTATCTCCTACAGCCCTGACAAGCAAAAGAGGGCATCTGACAGTTTCAGCTAATTCGGTTCCGTGGTGGTCGTAGCAGGCAAGCCGTGACGCCGCTCTCATCTATGAAGAGCTGCCAGAGCTGCATCCTGACTGGAAATGTTCGGAGTTCCTGCTTTCCTGTACCCAAGACCCCAAACCCTAAACCCTAAAAGGTTCTTATCGTTTAAGGTTTGGTTCGGAGTTCAGCACTGGATTTGCTAAGGCTAAGGTCAGGTTGCGTTTGCAATCGGGATTAGGGTGTAGGGTGGGATTGTCGAGTCATGTTAAACCGGTTTCCTACTTCTTGCAGTTCACCGAAACCCTAAACTCTAAACCCTAAACCCTAAACCCTAAACCCTAAACCCTAAACCCTAAACCCTAAAGTGTAGTGTTGTCAATCTCTTGCTTGGGACTACCCGAAACCCAAAACCGTATGGTCGTGGCCACCTGGGGCTTTGGAGCTTTGGGGGGTGTAGGGTGTAGGGCTTATAGGGTTTAGGGGTTTAGGTGTTTAGGGTTTAGGGGGGTTTAGGGGTTTAGGGAGTTTAGGCTTTAGGGGTGTAGGGTGTTGGGTTTATAGGGTTTAGGGGTTTAGGTGTTTAGGGGTTTAGGTGTCTAGGGTTTAGGGAGTTTAGGCTTTAGGGGTGTAGGGTGTAGGGTTTATAGGGTTTAGGGGTTTAGGAGTTTAGGGGTTTAGGTGTTTAGGGTTGAGGGAGTTTAGGCTTTAGGGGTGTAGGGTGTAGGGTTTATAGGGTTTAGGGGTTTAGGTGTTTAGGGTCTATAGGGTGTTTAGGGCTTCAGGGGGTTTAGGGTCTATAGGGGTTTACTATGGTTTACCAGTTATGGCATCTTGCGGACGCTGCAGATCTTGTCGATCGGGCCTGTGGTTTCTCACATCCCACGAGGGTCTTCACCATGTTAGTACGCCTCTAAAGCGGAGCCCTGTAAGGAAACCTTTTAGGGTTTTAGGGTTTAGGGTTTAGGATCTAGGGTTCAGGGTTTAGGGCCATTCAAACACACCCCAAGTTCTAAGTGTTGATTCTGGCTGGTCAAAGCCGTGGCTAATGGAGCCGTGATCTTCTTTGCCCCTGCAAGGTGAAAGTCAATCATAGGTTTGGGGTTCAGGACAGTGGTAGCTGTACCCTAGTTTTTTTGTAGGGTCCCTACAGAATTCCATTTTAGGGCTTGGTAGTTTGAAGGTAGGAGGGTTTTGTGTTTAATATAGGAGCCTAAAGAATTTCCAATAGTACTTTGGGGGCTCCTTGTTATGATTATAGTGGAATATACCCCGTAACCCTATTCTAATTAATAAGACCCCTACATTAGGCGCACAGTGAAAAAAACACTCTAAACCCTGAACCCTAAGTGTCGGGTTTAGGTTTGGAGGTTTAGAGTTGTTTCTTGTTTCCCTCGGAGATGCAAACCATCCAGCTGGTCCACTCGCAGCCCGACAGGACCACCCGTTCAGGTCTTATGGTTCAGGGGTTTAGGGTTTAGGGGTATAGGGTTCAGCGTCTAGGGGTTTAGGTTTTGGGGGGTTTAGGGGTTGTTTAGGGCTTTAGGGTTGAGGGTGTAAGTCCTTCACTCTCCGCAAGTCGAGCCCCTTATCCCGTAACCGCGAGCCCGCGGACCGAAATGACGCAGAAGCCTGTCTGTAGCCGCCCCGAATCTTACAAGGCAGCAGAAGATGACCCCTTAACTTAAGTCTAGTAGTCATGAGGAAATGGAGTTTAGATCCACCCTGAACCCTGAACCCTAAACCCCTCAACCCTAAACTCCTAAACCCCTCAACCCTACACCCCGAAACCCTAAACCCTAAACCCCTAAACCCCTAAACCCCGAAACCCCTAAACCCTAAACCCCTAAACCCTCCTTTCCCTAAACCCCAAAACCCTAAATCCTAAACCCTAAATCCTAAACCCCTAAACCCCTAAACCCCCCTAAACCCTAAGCCCTAAACCGTAAAATCCTAAACCCTAAACCCTAAACGACCTGAACCCTGAGGGGCTTTCAACCCGACTCTGATCTCTGCACTTTTACGGCTCTCGACACCCCTGAAATCCGTAGACCTCGAGATCCTCACGAGGACCCAAAATGTTCCAGAAACAGGCCCTATATCACCCTAAACCCTAAACCCTAAACCCTAAACCCTAAACCCTAAACCCTAAACCCCTTAAACCCTGAAGCTCCAAATCCAAGCCCCTTTTTATACACGCCCGATATAAAATTACGAACTTCGTAGAAAAAACTAGACCCTAAGCCCCTAATCTGAATCTTGTCCTGACTCCTACAATTCATCGACGTATCCAGGTGATGAGCACTCCGATGCTGGGCTGATGGTGCATCGCCGTGCAGAGCAATAGACTGAGTTTAGGGTTTAGGGTTTAGGGGGGAAGGGGGCAAAGGATTGCCAGTGGTTTTGTATTTTGAGTTGTAGGTTTGTTGTTGTTGGTGCGTGTTTATTTATATATTTTTGTGAGACATTCGAAATCAGATTGGTTGCATCGTGTGTTGTCCTGTGTCTTTTTGTTGTTGTCTTTCTGTGGGACTTGGAATCTAGGTTGCTGATTGAGATTGAGATTTGTCAGTTGTGGGATCTGCAATATGTTGAACAACCTTGGGGTGTATAGGTTTCGTGGGTTTCGTGGCATGGCGATTTAGGCAGTGGATTTTGTGACGGCTTTCGAGACACAGCTGTACAAGTGTCATTGAGTAGGAATTCGAGCTTGCCTGTGCATCCAGTAGCGTGCCGTTGCTTTACTGGTTTTACCTTATAAACTAGCGCAGAAGCCTAAAATTGAACAGTCGCAATGTGATTCCTTATGATTCCTCACCATGACTGATTGAAATCTATCCTCATTATTAAGGCCCTTTTTTATGCCTGATCATTAAGGGGTTTCATCCTCCTAGTTGCCTTGTAGGCTTTGAACCTTCGGATTTTGCTCCGAGGTTCAAGGATCCTTTGGCACTGAAGGGCTTAATAGGGAATAAGGGGGTTTGGGGTTTAAGGCTTATTCAGAAGCTTTAGGTGGATCAGGGTTTAGGGTTTAGGTTTATGAGGGTTCAGGGTTTAGGGTTAGGCTTGACGGGTTTAGGAGTGCAAGGGTATACCAATGGCTCCACTGATTTGTTCTTGTAGTATAAAGACCTACTACGGTGCTGAATTCGGGGCTGCAGGTATGTTTTAACGCACCCAGGGAAGCCAAACCCATGGAGCAGTAGACGGTAGACCCCAGGTTGATACAAAACACGCTTGGCTTTTGTTAACCAGTGGTTTGCAGTCCTCCTAAACCCCGAACGTCAAGCCCTAAACCGTAAACCCCGACACCTCAAGCCGAGAATCTTTTCAAAGTGACATCGAAAGCCAGCTTCCCCCACCACTGCTTTGATGAGCTAAAACACACTAAAACCCTAAAGCCCTAAACCCTAAGCCCTAGAAACTTAAAGCCCCAAAACCCTAAAGCCCTACACCCTAAAGCGCTAAAGCCCTAAACTTGTCTATGTTGGCAGTGAAATAGAGGGCCTAGGCACTTCGGACAGGCTTTTGGGGTGCATAATGCTACACGGTTTAGGGTTTAGGGTACATCATGCCTATAGTCTCCATTGTAGTTCCTTTTTGGGGATGCCTTATAAAATCCTTGATATATAATTGGTTGAACCGCAAAAAGGAACTACAATGTAGACTACAGGTACTATAGGTATAGTCAGGAGCTCTAAGGACTACCAGTGGTAATTGTTCAGATCCTTTTTAACTATCCGAAGCCTTAAACCATAACGGTTGTGGCTGAAGGGCTTCTCCTTGACTGGTCGTCTGTCGAGCGCTGCAAGGGTACTACAGTAGCTCTATGGGAGGAGCTTAGACAAACCGTAATGTAGGAACCTCAGAATGTACCATATAAACAAACATATGAAACAGACGCATGTGTGTGTAAGTTAATAAGAAAATGCATCTGCATAACCTATATATATATATATTTATATTTATATTTATATTTATATTTATATTTATTTATTTATTTATTTATTTATGTGTGTATACATATATATATATATATATATATTGTAGGTACTTTGTAGAGAGGCTCAGGTTCGCCAAAACCCTGCTCATAAGAGCCAAAAAAAGCTTGAACCTAGCTCCCTAAACCCTAAATTTAGGGTTTAGGGTTTAGGGTTTAGGGTTTAGGGTTTAGGGTTTAGGGTACTAAACCCTAAAAACCTGAACCCTAAACCCTAAACCCGGTGGTCGGAAAGGTCATGTCAGCACACATAAAAAAAAAACCTAAACCCTAAACCCTAAACTATCGTAAAACCTCAAGTCAAACTTGTTGACGCCACACCCTCCGCCATCCCCATTTCGAGCTAAGAACTGGTCCTAATTCCCTCAACCTTGAGCGGTAAGGTTTTAAGGATCTGATACAAGTGCTGCCCCTTTCAGCCAAGGCCAGTGCGCCGACGTTGCATTTCGCTGTAAGCGTCTTTGCAACCCGGGGTGCCGCACAAGAAGGGGTTTGCTGTCGTCCTGGGCGGGCCTAGCTGTATGGTAATGTTTGCTTTTGAGGGGCACCAAGGGTCTAGCTGTAGGGACCCTCAAATGCACGTGTGCCGCCACCAGGCACTAGACACTAAAGACCCAAAGCCATAAACCCGACACCAGACGCCCAAAGCCCGTTCTTACCCAGGATGTGATCTTGCAATGAAGGGGTTCTTTCATTTCAAGGCACTGTGAGAGACCCTGCCAGAGCGCAGTTTACTTTAAGTGTCTCTCCGTCGTTATGGCCAGAGTCCTGGACGTTTTCAGACAATTACATCAGCTTATTTCATATTTCTATGGAGTTTACGGTTTAGGTTGCATAAGAGAGTTTGTAATCAAGCGCGAAGGAGTCGAAAGTTTAGGACATAGATCCTTGGCTTGGATCGTCGAGCTGTCTGGTATCATGCTCGCGCTCTCTTGTCAACAGCCTACGACCCTAAACCCTAAACCCTAAACCCTACGACTCACGAGAACAACTTCGCCCAACCCGAAGCGGCCAGCCCCAGGGCCATACGCCGCAAGAGTAGTCAGGCCAAAAACCCGATGCTTGAGAGGTCAGAAACTAATAACCCTAAACCCCAACAACCCTAAACCCCAACAGCCTTAAACCCCCAACAGCCCTAAACCTGTTGGGGTTTAGGGCTGTTGGGGTTTAGGGTTGTTGGGGTTTAGGGTTTTGGGGGTTCAGGGCTTAGGGTTTAAGGCTGTTGGGGTTTAGGGCTGTTGGGGGTTTAAGGCTGTTGGG